TCAGCTGTGACTCTTGTCCTTGAAGACCATCAGAGGCATCCCTAACCAGCTATCAATTTCTCAGAAGAATAAGATTTCAAACCATTTTTCTTTTTTTAAACTGGTAGTATATTATTCAGCTTTAAGAAATTCTCAACATGGCTGAATCTTGCAGACATTATACAAAATGACACATGCCAGTCAGTCTAATATTGTGTGGCTTCACTTACACTAACTAAAGTTGTCAAATTCATAATGATATGGACATATGGTGGTAGACAGGGGTGAGGGTGGGGAGTGGAGAATTATCACTTAACGGGTATCAGTTTTGAGTGTTGCCAGAAAGTTCTAGAATGGATCTGCACATCTGCACAGAGATGTGGATACATTTACTAGTGAACTGTACACATAGATATGATTCATTTTATGTTTTGTAACATTTTACTACAGAACATCTCAGGAAAGAGTTCACTCCACAGAATCACCCAAACATAGACTGAATGGAGATGGAAATAAATACGTCACATGATGACCTGAGAAACAGGGTGGACAAGACAAAGGATGTCTTCCCTTTAAAGGACAGCTCTCCCGATGCCCATGATGGCCACAGGGATCCTTTCTTTGATGTGATAAATCTATTATCTTTGCTGTTCTCATTTCCAAACCAATTCCTCCCTCCCTCCCTCCCTCCCTCCCTCCCTTCCTCCCTTCCTCCCTTCCTTCCTTCCTCCCTCCCTTCCTTCTTTTTTCCTTCTTTCTTTCATTTCTTCTGGTCCTGAAGTTGAGCTCAGGGCCTGAGCACTCTCCCTGAGCTCTTTTTTGCTCAAGGCTGGTGCTCTACCACTTGAACCATACCTCTACTTCCAGCTTTTTGCTTATTAATTATAGATAAGAGTCTCACAGACTTTCCTGCCTAGGCTGGCTTTGAGCCATAATCCTCAGATCTTAGCCTCCTACGTAGCTAGGATTATAGTTATGAGCCCCTGGTGCCAGGCCAAAATATCCCATTTTCATGGGCAATTTTGGGGATGGCACAATACTATGTTCAGCTGAGCCAGAGCCCCTGCTCCCCAAGAGGTGGCTGTGCTTGACCACTCATTGGCAGACAGCCAATTTCCTTTTGCTTTGGGGGCTTTGGGTTTCCAGATTACAGAATTCCAGAAAGTCAAGGGCTCTGAGCAATTTGTGACACTGAAGGACTTCTCTCCTACCTTATTAAAAAAAACAGAAATACAGAAAATGTTTACAATGACTATTCAAAAGCCAAAAAGTCAGCAGGCAGAAGCCTAACCTTGCCCACCAGAGCCTTCCCACCACCCCTTTGTCACAGGTGAAGAGGCAAGATTCTTCCCCCAGGGTCTCACCAGTGGAGGGAGCTTTCCTCATGAGGATACCCAAGGCCCACCAGCCACAGCAATGCCAGGTTAACAGGGGCATGTTGAGTCTATTCACAGAAGTAGCAAGCAGGAAGCAGATGTCAGGTTCTCCAAGACCCAAAGATCCTGGAACTCTTATTGTTGACCTTCTGCTTTTAGAAGCCCTTAATCACCCCAGCTTGCCTGCCTGATCACTAAGTCTCACCCAGAGGCAAAGCCAGAGAGAAAAGATGGTATTTAGACACACTTGGTGACAGGGGCAAGGAAAAGTCACCAGAAGGGGATTTGGTTTATTAAGATCTCCATCCCAAGCTGACACCTGTAATTCTAGCTACCAAGGAGGCTGAGATTCCCAGTTCAAAGCCAGCCTATGGAGTACTGACCCCCACACAAAAAGAAAATAAAAATCCCTGTCTCCATTCCTTAGGCTTTCTAGGCTTGAAGTATGTTTCCTAATCTTCCCCCAGAATACCTGTACATCAGCAGGATTGGGGTGGTGAAGTTCATTTCTGGGTCAGCAAAGTTGATAGTCACAAGAGAAATCCAAGTCCAGGGAACAGAGGGGGAGGGAGGATGTGCGAAGTCAGAAAACAGAACCTGGCCCTCATCCATGTTCTCTTCAAAGCTTGAAAAGCTAGTTTCTCCCACTTGTCTGGAAGTCTGGAGAGGATCCAAAGAGACAGACACCTCTCCCAAAGCCCTGCAAAGGTCCCCTCCTCCCCTGCTCACCAAGAAGGCAGACACTCCCCCACCCTGTCAAAGCTGCAGGGTTTCTGAGTTGGGGGAGATTTGGGAGCAGGGGAAGGAGAGCATCTGAGCAGCTTCATCCTGGCCAATCACAGAAGTACAGGTTCTATGGGCTGATGGTCCCAGTGATTTGTCCTATGAGTGTAATACTGTCTTCTAGTTGGATCACCCCAGATACCCTGGGCCACTCCCAGAGACTCTAGCCAGTGTCTGTCCCACTATTCTCGTGCTCTGGGTGCTCCACACACAGGCTCTGAGGTCATGTTGAGCCTGGTGAGATGGATGGCATGGAAATAAGAATTACAACCTCCCAGAGATGGAGACAGACATCTCCCCTTCTCAGGGGCAGGGAGATGGGGAGTAGGTCAGAATCCCAGTTCTTCCCAGATCTCTTGCCTTAACTTTTAACACATCATTACAACCTGGGTGACCACTGAAGGAATATCTCACCTGGAAGGAATGCAAAAGGGGAAGAGGGAGCCACTAATGATCTGGGAAAGGGCATACTCCAGGACAATCCTGGGGTGATGCTAATCATCCATCCTCAATAAGGATACACCAAAGAGCAGGGGAAGAACCCCATCTACCACTTCTCACTCATGTCTCCCTTCTGTGATTACTAGACAAAAGCACCAGCTCATCAGAGCAGGTAAAACTGTCCATGTCTGGTGGACAGACTGAAACTAATGGGCTGTAAAACTAGGAAGCCTTAGTCTGTTTCAGGCTGTTCCCACTGGTAGAGTCTGTGCTCAGATCGGGAGAAAGTCATACTGATAGTCTGTTATCCTGGGACAGCCAGAACCTCTGGATGGGAACACAGATTCCTCAGTTAATCATTAAGAAGCCACTCGCTGGGAGGTAAAGCAGCAGGAAGTTCTTTGTCCATAAATACGTGTAGAACACAGAAGACATCCTGCAATTTTACATCTGGCCTGCAAGGGGCAGCATATCTCTAGAAACAAACGACCATAGTGTGTGCTTAGGGGTTACTTCAGAAAATGGATTTAGTTAGCCAAGGAATAAGTTTTTGGTTGTTGTTGTTTTGTTTTTGTGCCAGTTCTGGAGCTTGAACTCAGAGTATGGGCGCTGTCTATGCGCCTTTCTGCTCAAGGCTAGCGCTCTACCACTTGAGCCACAGCACCACTTCCAGCTTTTTCAGCTTATGTGGTGCTGAGGAATAAAACCCAGGGCCTCATGCATGTGAGACAAGCACTCTATCACTGAGCCACCTTCCCAGCCTTTTTAAAATCAATTTGATGTGTTCCAGTATGCAATTTCTACTCCTACATATTTTCACATTTGGATATTTTCTCTGTGTTTTATGCTAGGTAAAGAGTAAACTTTTTTTTTTGGTCGGTCGCAGGGTTTGAACACTGGGCCTGGGCACTGTCCAGCTCAAGGGGAGCACTCCATCACGTGAGCCACAGCACCACTTGCGGTTTTTTAGTGATTTATTGGAGATAAGAGTCTCAGGGACTTTCTTGCCCGGGCTGGCTTTGAACCGTGATCCTCAGATCACAGCTTCCTGAGTAGCTAGAATTACAGGCATGAGCCACCGGTGCCCAGCTAAGAGTAAACTTTTAATGACTACATACTTACAGACTGACCAGTTGGTTGAAGATAACTAGATTTGCCTGGAGCATGGAAAGCGCAGGATGAACTAGGAGGAAGTGAACTAGGGACTGACGAATGCCATGGAAAAGCACTGCGATGATCTGAATGCCTGTCTACTCTCAAGCTCATGTTAAAATTTAATTGCATTGAGAGGTGGAAGCTTTAAGAGATGTAAAGTCTGCCTTGGTGACTAGGTTTAATGTCATTATTGCGGAAGTGGGTTACCATGGTGATGGGTCCCTTAGAAAAATATAAGTAGGGTCTCCTCTTGCTTTATCCCACCCCTCTCTTACCCTTCTGCTCCAGGACAATCCAGAAAGAAGGCCCTCACCAGAAGCCAGACCCTGTTCTTGAACTTCCTTATCTCCAAAAGTGTGAGCCAGTAAGTTCCTGCCGTTTATACCTTTCCCAGGTTCAGGTGGTCTGTTACAGAAACACAAAATGGATGAGGACAAGTGCTTTCCTTTCTGGCTTGCCCAGGAAAACCAACCGCATTTGAAATTTTCCTAAAGGATATTTTTCTCCAAGAGCAAGCTTACGGACAGATGAAACCAGTCATCTTGGCTTATTAATATTCCTCCTCTTTGCAAAGTTCATTCTACACACATATTAGATAAACAAGTTCCAGGTTTGGGTTATACGTATTTAAAGCTTTTACATTTACACTCAAAGGCATTGCACATTATACCCTCCCTACAAGACCCTCTGGATGCACTGAAGCCATGGAAGTTCATGCGCACCCCCACTGAGAAGGGACCGTCAGTGTGCAGCCCACCTGGCTTTGGCTAGCTGAGCAGCAGAAAAGCAAATATGCTGAGCTTCCTAGGGACTTGCTGTCTGCTGTCCCTGAAGCTATCTGCCCATCCCTCAGGACATCATGGTTTTCTGAGCAGCAGAAGATGGGAGCCATTAATGTTCCCAGTGTCCCACAGCACCCTTATCTCAGGCAAACCCCCTGTTTGCTGAGACACGGACAGACTCGGGCAGCCTTGAAGGGTGGGCCCAGAGGGCTGGGGAGGTATGGGTGCCAGTTCTCAGCCTCCTGAAAGTTGGTGCTTTCCCATAAGAGCTTCAGATTGGTGGGGTTTTTTGTTGTTGTTGTTTTGATTGGTGGGGGCTTGAACTCTGGGCCTGGGTGCTGTCCCTCAGCTCTTCAGCTCAAGGCTAGCGCTCTACCACTAGAGCCAGAGCTCCACTTCTGGTTTTCTGGTGGTTTATTGGAGATAAGAGTCTCACAGACTTTCCTGCCCAGACTGGTATTGAACTGTGATCCTCAGATCTCAGTCTCTTGAGTAGCTAGGATTACAGGCGGGAGCCACAGGTGCCCAGCTTCAGATTGGTGGTCTAATGACACACAGCCAACTAATGCCCAAGTTCCCCATGTAGCTGGGTTCGTGGCTTCAGTGGATGAAGTATCTGTGTTGAGAGGAGGCAGCAAGGTGGTTGAGCAGGAGGGAGACATCTATGTTCTCACAACGAGCAGGGTCACTGCAGCCAGAGACAGCTGGAGATAATGCCTGGCTGTAGATAACACAGGAGCCCGGCCTGCTTCCTTCCACTGCTGAGCTTTGCTGTGTCTTCTAGAACAGCCTTCAATATTGGCGCTATCCCTAGCTTCCGGTCAGAGCCTGAGAGGGATGTGGTGGGGTCTATGCCGGCTCAGAGTGCTGCCCTGCAGAAAGTAAGCTCAGCAGAGGCAGCCAGGGAGCCCACAAGTGGTCCTACAGCCCATTTAACTACGCGAAATGCCATATGCCTGGGGCTGCTATTCTAGAGTCTTCTCTTCTCTCCCCCAGGATGGGGAATATGAGGGGCCTTGGCTGAGGGGGTCAGGAAAGGCTGGGTAAGAGTTAGATAGGGAAGAGAGGCCTGCCGGTGGGGAGGTGAGACTCTTCATCAAACAAGAGGATTAGGGGCACAGCAGGAGAGTCATAGAAGGGAGACTGTGGGCACCAATGAGGCTGTGGTCTTTAGGCCCTACCTTACTTCCTGACCAACAAAAACCACACACAGCTAGGCCTCTTCACCACCTCACCATGACAGGCAGGAGGTGTCCAGCATGGGCCTGCCTGGACCTGGTGTAGAACCAAGGGCAGAGTGTGGAATGCAACCAAGGGAGGGTAGCACCCCTGTTCTTTAAGGGTAAGACTGGACCTCAGGTGGCGTCAGACCAGCAGAACAGAGAAAGAGAGGAGGCAGTGGAGGGGACAGGGTAGTGTTATCACTTTCCGCCCCGGGGAAGCGCTGAGGATGCTCCAGGCTGGGTGGCCATGATGTGATAGATGGATTCCCGGAAGCGCTGGTCTCGGCTGAGCCTCTTGGCCACCTCCTTCAGCTCTTCTATGTTGTTGGCCTCCAGCTGGGAGGTCATGAAGGACTGGGATGGCTTCACTGGGAAGACAGGGCCCGATCACCTCGGGAATAGCCCTCCCTCCACCATGGCTTGGTCCTGACCCTGGCCCCCCTCCCAGCCCCGCCCCCTCTCAGCCCCATGGACCACTGAGCTTCTCCCAGCCCTTCCTGACTGTGGGTTTCCACAATCCTGTAAGAGACCCAGGGTACAAGAATTTACCTTGGGTCGGTAGAGCCAACCGGTCCAGCTTAACCCCAGAGCGGGGCCAGCCTTGCTTGTCCCCCACCCTGCCCTCTTCCTGCCTTGTGACTAATAACTTGTGCCACCAGATCCCATCAGGGTGGCAGCCGCTGAGCACACTCACTGTCATTCCAGGAGGTGCTAGACCGACGCCGGTGGAAGCGGCAGCTCTTGATGCGGCGAGTGGCAGCCTTGTGGATATACACCGAATTCTTCATGATGACAGGCATCTTGGCCTCCAGCTCTGCGTTTCGGATACACTCCTCAAAGAACCCTGTGGTGGAGGCAAGATCAGATGGGTCAAGTTGGCTACTTCCTTCCCTCAGCCCCTTCTTCCCTTCCCTTCCCAGGGATGGGGGAGGGATAAAGGGATTGAGGGGGAAATATGCTGGTCCCATCCCTTTGAGACCATTGCTGCCAGCAGGGGACAGAGCTTCCTCCATCCCTTATACCAAAATCTGTTGCTAGCTCATGGGCAGGTCTGCTGAGAACAGAGCTCAGTTTGAGCTTTTAAAAATTCCAAATGGCAGCAGTGCCCAAGGGAACCCTTGGGCACTGAATAGCTGTAGAAGAAACCCCACAAATGACCAAACTTATAAATAAGCAGGCCTCCATGGGGCCTGGAAGCTGCCGTGGCTGCGTGGCTGGGGGCCAGTCCACAGAGGGAGGACTCACTTTTCAGATGGCTCACATCAGCCCGCATCCTCTCCTCCTTCTCCTTGTTTCGCACCTTGGAGTTGAGCCCTTGTTCCAGGCTCTGCAAGGCTCCCTCGGCCTCCCGCAGACGCCGCTCCAGGTCCATGCGGACCTTGACCTCAGCCTGGACAGAGGCAAGTGAGACAGAGAGACAGAGACAGAGACAGGAGAGGGGGGTGGAGGGAGGGAAGGAGGGAGAGAGAGAAAGAAAGGGCTAGGAAGCAGTTATCATCTCTCTAGAAGCCTTCCCTCATCACTCCTGGCTCAATGGGCTCAAATGGAAGTTTCCACATCATGCTTCTATCTCTCACCCCCAACCCAGGTAGCCTGGGCTTGGTCCCTACTCCCAAGAGGAGGTATTTATTAATGATATGGCAGTGTCTTTTCCCTCATAGTGGTGTCATGCCCACATCTGGACTGCTGGTCAGGTTGCAGAGTATTCTGGTAGCTAGCCTGTACTGGACAGCACCAGACAGGAACCCCAAGAAAGAGGAAGGGCCCTTGAGCTCACCTTAAGCTCCCGCTCAGCCTGCTGCTTCTCTGCTGTCAGCTCCTGCAGCGAGTTCTGCAATGCCTGAGACTGGCTGGAGTAGAATTCCCGCTCCTCCTCCAGGGCCCGTGAACGCTCTTCATTCTCCTTCATCCTGCCAGCAAGAGAGGACCTTACTCAATGTGCATGCACCAAAGGGGGTCATCCCTCCGAGACCTGGCTGGAGACACTCTGAACTCCCAGGACTTCCTGGGTCCAGCCACTCAGGTGAAGAGAGGAATGACCTGGTTCCATAATGGAAGTCCTAGGCTTAGAGGCATCAGACTTGGGTCTAGGGCGGGTCAGTTCTGTGACCTTAAGAAAGCCCTATCACCCCTCAAAGACTGTTTCCTCAGAGATAGGAGGCCAAGGGAACCTGCCTACCTGGCCACAAACACAGTTCTGAGCATACAGTGATGCTCTGTAGGATTCACCATTTCAAGAGACAATGAATCATCAAGTCAGCATTGGGGAGCAAAACTTGCTGGGAAAACAATCCTAGACAACAGGAAGTAAGTGGCCCCTCTGCTCAGTACCAGCTAGAACTCGAGTCCAGCTTGAAGAAAGTTCCTAGATTCCAAGCCACTGGAAGACCCAGGTGTCTCACCGCTTCTCTGCAAGGTGCTTCTCTGCCAACAGCTGCTGCATCCGCTCCTCGATCTGCCGTAGGTTGCTATGGAGACCCCCACTGGCAGGTGGCTGCTCACTCTGACTGGCCAGGGACTGTGGCTGGTTCTTGTCCTCCTCTAGCATTTCAAGGGTTTTCTTCTTTTCTATGGAGAGTTCCTAATACAGAAGTAGGGAAAGAAGAGAAGGAGCTCAGTTTTTAACATGGCGGCTTACCAGCCTTTCAATTTCAGGGAATAAACCTCTCCTCTCTCAGTCCTCTTTGAAGGACACCTTAAGATGATGTCTCATTCCAAGATAGCTCTCTTCCCACAACAAGGCAAGTTTACTCCTCAACCAAGGGAGTCAAAGTGGGGCCCAATATGGCTACTAGTGGAGAACCAGGTCCCAAGGCCCAAAAGCTCCATGATCTTCTGGGGTTCCATCTGTTCACTTGATAAAACACCCAACAGAACCAGACTAAGAGCAGATTTAGATTCCTATATCCACTGGGATCTTATACTACACAGAGTTGCAACCGTCCATGATGAGAAGCAGGGAAAAATAAAGACACCACAAAGCACCAGTCAGTTAAGGGAGACTGGAAACCGTGGCAACCATCAAGGCCATAAACCCCCATGGTGGTTACACCAGGGTTTGGAGAGACCATGAAGACATAATAGAATGAAATACACAATTGGGAAAACACAACACAGAGGTGCAAAATGTTGTATGAGCCCAGAGCTCAGAGCAAATACCTGCCTAGAAGAATTAGGGAAGGTTGACTAAAAAAAAAAAAAAAAAAAAAAAAAATATATATATATATATATATATATATATATATATATATATATTTGAGGGCAGGGAGATGGAAATAGACTCTATCCATGGGTGAGTGCTAGCAGAAGGGGCTTGGGTTAACAAGGAGGTTTTAAAGAGAGAGAGAAGAGATTTGAGTTGGTCTTCAAAGAATGAGTAGGAGTTCTCCATGCAGAGGAGAGATGGAAAGGACATGCTATATAAAAAAATAGTCTGAGGGGCCTGGGAAGGTGGCTCAGTGGTAGAGCGCTTGCCTTGCATGCATGAGGCCCTGGGTTCGATTCCTCAGCACCACATGAACAGAAAAAGCCGGAAGTGGTGCTGTGGCTCCAGTGGTAGAGCGCTAGCCTTGAGCTGAAGAGCTGAGGGACAGGGCCCAGGCCCAGAGTTCAGGCCCCATAACTGACAAAAAACAAAAACAAGAAAACAAAAACAGTCTGAGGAAAGGTATGGGGAGCAAGAGAAGTCATCTCTGTGGCACATGAGCTCAGTGGTTAGAGCCGAGTTGGATGTATCATTTTGTAGGTGGGGGGAGGGGGGCTAGCAGGGAAGGACCTGCTAAGGCTAGAATTAGCACTTACACATCATGCTAAGGAGTGGGTACTTTGTCCTTGATTCATGCCACACCCTTCTCCCTTCAGTTTCTTGTGGTACCAGACAAAAATGATTTGGCAGTTACTTTCATGCTCGATTTTACCCAGGAGCACTTGGGCGAATGAGCCACAAGAAGGATGTGGTGCCCACCCTAATCGATTCTCCATCTTCTATAAAAATACTGGCACCAGAGAAAGTTGGTTTCCTAAGGCCATGGTCGTGGCCAGGGCCTGCTGGAATTTGCCCTCTGGGTAGGGGAACAAACAGTTCCTGCTTTGGCCTCCATATCAGCTGTAGTTGCCAGCCATCCACAGAGATCTTTTAGATTAGCATCTCTTCCCTCCCCCTTGCAGGAACCCCACTGGGAAGCACTTGGAAAAACTAGAATGGTGGGAGCCCGACCACCAGCCCACCAGCAGCCCCTCACCTCCAGCGTCTGCTGCAAGGACTCTGTGAGGTGCCTCAGCTCCTTTTTCTCTTGTTCCACACCCTTGAGGCATCTGGCCGTGAGCTCCAGCTCCCTGTGAGAACAGAGGGCTGTATAGCAATGCCCACCTCCCCACCACCAACCCTGCACACAGACTGCTGCCTCTCCTTGGTGACAGCCCTCTGTACCTCCAGACTCCCCCCTCCCCCAAACAGCTGCAGGTCCAGGGCTGAAAGGAAAGCCACCAACAAAGTTGGAGTCATTTGTTCCAGGTGCTCACACACCTGTCGGGTGGGATAAGTTCATGTCACACCCCTCTCCCCTGTCTATGGGACATTCCACAACCATCATCCCTGGTCAGCACGGTCAGCACCCATAAGGGCCCAGCCACACCTGTTGTCCAAGACAGCACCTACTAAAATCCATGCTATTATGCCGATTTCTCAAAATCTTTCACTCTTCAAGGGCTAGTTCCATTCATCCCACAGGGTCATGCATGTGTCTTAATTCCTATGACACAGGAAATCTACACTACCTTCTAGCCTCAACTATATATAGAATTGTGTTAAATGTCTCTGGGTGCAAGTCTAGTTTTCTCAGCCAAGATGGCAAGATCTCAAGGAAGGGAACTTATTTATTTGCAAGATCAATTTTTACTTGGGCTGTTACTGATGGTCAGTGATGATGGTGAGGATAATAATGACCACTGGTGGCCAATGTAGTAGCCTCCAAATTCTGGATAGAATACATCCAATCCCCAGGGGTCCCCTCCGCTTTTTAAAACAATGTGGAACACTTCATGAATTTGCATGTCATCCTTGCACAGAGGCAATGCTAATCTCTCTGCATCGCTCCAATTTTAGCAGGCGTGGCTGAAGCGAGTTTCCATCATGCCTAGCTTGTTTGTTGAGATGGGATTTTGAAATCTTTCTTGCACACTCTGGCCTCCAACCACAGTGCTCCCAATCTTAGCCTCTGAGTAGCTTCAATTACAAGCATAAACCTGTAAAATTATAGGCATAAGAGGCTTTCTCTACCTGATACTTTTTAAAGCTATACATTTGGGTGCCTTAGCTTCGTGTAATTATAATTCAGCTCGTGATTATAATGTGTATCTATGTTTGCAAACAGTGACAGGGGACCGAAGATCCCAAGTGGTATCCCTAGCCCAAAAGGGAAAAGGATTGGCTCTGCAGATGAGGCAGAGCATGTTGGGGGTTGAGGCTGTCAGCATCTGTAGGCCAGGCCAGCTTGCTCCTGACTTGAGCATGAAGATAGGAAGGACTAGCTGCTGTGTCCCGGTCAGTCTATACTTGCCCATACCTCCATGTTCCAGTTCCCCCCACTGCAAGAGGATAATTATCAATGAGTAGAAATAGCTCATTGCTGGGGGTGGGAAGCTGTGTGTCTACCGCTTCCTTGGAGTATACAGAGGCCTGAACCATTGGGAGGGGAGACAAAGCCATAAGAGCTATCTCCTGGGTGGAGGCCTCTCCAGACCTGGCTGAACACTGCTCTGCATGCCCTGTGCTGGGGCACCCCTCCGGGACCCTCCCGGGGCCCACCACCACCTCTTGATCTGCTCCTGCTCCACTCTCAGCTCCTGCACCACCTCCTCAAACTGCTGCTTCTCAGCCTCCAGCACCTGGTTCAGGCGTTCAAGCTCCTGCAGACAACCAGACAGGAAGAGAAGAGTTATGGGGGGAGGGAGGAGAGTTCACTGAAGTTGGGGGCTCCCTACTAATCAAGGAGACCCTCTGGGATTTGGCTCAATATGGCCAAATATAGCTTAGCAAGATTTGAATTAATCACTGAGGAATCCTGGCCCTACTCAGAGACATGCAATCTCAACCAACCCCAAGTCTGGGATGAACTCAACCTCTTAAAACAGCAAACTAGGGGCTGGGAAGGTGACTCAGTGGTAGAGTGCTTGTCTTGCATGCATGAGTCCCTGGTCGATTCTTCAGCACCACATAAGCAGAAAAAAACAGGAAGTGGCACTGTGGCTCAAGTGGTAGAGTGCTAGCCTTGAGGTAAAGAGCTGAGGGACAGAGCCCAGGCCCAGAGTTCAGGCCCCATGACCAAGAAAAAATAAAATAAAAAATAAAAACAACAGCAGCAAAACAGCAAACTAAATCCAGGTGCTGGTGGCTAATGCCTATAATCCTAGCTACTCAGGGGGCTGAGAATTGAGGTTTGAAGCCAGCCCAGGCAGGAAAGGCCATGAAACTCCTATCTCCAATAAATTACTCAGAAAAAGCCAGAAGTGGTGCTGTGGCTCAAGTGGTAGCGCATTAGCCTTGAGCACAAAAAGGCTCAAGGACAGTGCCCAAGCCCTGATTTCAAGTCCCAGGACTGACCAAAAAACAAAAACCAAAACAGCAATTTAAGCAGGACTTGGAAATGATCAGGACACAGGTCCTGTGGCAGATGTGAAGACTACTCTGCTAGGCAGCGCCAATGACTTATACCATAAGGGTAGCTTGCTGACCTTCAAGCCTAAAGAAAAAAGAGGGAGTATATATTTCCATTACAGAGCCCCAGAATGCCTCTTTGACAATTCAACTTGCAGATATCTCCCACTACTTAATATTGCACTGGGCTATCTTTCTGTACTTGAAAATGGGGAAGGGTCAGTTATTAAAATCTCATTCCTTCTCTCTACAGCTAAGCCTCCCAGAAGCAGAAAGGGAAGCTAACCCACCTGGACCTAGTTTTTCCTCTGGCTTTTCTCTTTTGGTGGTCCCAAAATATGTGATTAAGGTGCTTTTCCCTTTTCTTCCTCTTTTGGGGAAGGGGTGGTACTGGGGTTTGAACCCAAGGCCTTGTTCCTGTTAAGCAATTGCTCTATCATTTAAGTCACGCCCTAGCCCTTTTAAGCTCTAGTGATTTTTTTTTTAATAGGGTCTCTGGTTTCTGTCCTGGTAGGCCTGAACCCCGATCTTCCTAGTTACACTTTAGGGTAGCTGGAGTAACAGATGTGTCCCACCATGCCTAGTTTATTGAGATGGGATTCTTTCTGCCCAGTCTGGTCTGGAACTACAGTCCTCCCAATCTAACCTTCTAAGATTACAGGCATGAACCTATAGCATCATAGGCATAAGATACTTTACACAAATTCACAGGCAGAGCTGTGTCCAGGCAGTATTTGCTGAGAAATGGGTACCCATGAACCACAGCCCACCAGGGTCAAAGCAATTTTAAAAGCAATTCATTATCCATCAGATGCTTGAATTTCCCTCTGAATTTCCTGCCAGAAATGGTCCAGCTCTGCTTGAGTAGTTCTTACCAAAGGAAATTTGCTCCTTTGGTAAGACAGCCCATTTCACCCTTGAGCAATCTGACAGAAAAGCTCTTTTTTACAAGCTCCACCCCCTGCCAGGCTGAATGCTGGATGTTCTGAAAGCCACAAATACAAAAGCATTAATGGATGGTGATGGAAGATTTGGTTGAATTCTTTGCAGGTTCTGATGAGGTACAAATCATTTATGCTGCATGTCCCATCTCTTCCCCTACCCCTACCTCCTGGGCCCTAATTGCTTAAACCACCTCTATCCTTGCCCCAAACTCTCCCTCATTTCAGCATCACCTTTACTTCTTGTACTTTCTCTGTGACTTAGCCCCCACAGTCCAAAAACAAAGGGCTAGCAGACAACTCTTAGACAATCCTAGACTGGCAAAGCTAAGGGGGCAGCAAATGCCTGGCCAATGCTTGGTGGTTCCAGCACATATAGGGAAAGGGGGTAGTTCCTTCCACAAAGAATTAGAGACACAATCTACCTTCCAATTTTCTTTACTGAGTCCAGTCTCTTCCCATGGGGGCCACAGGACAAACCTAAATTCTTTTCCTTTCCAGTGTTTAAAAGAGCTGTTCCATTCCCCAGTTTCTTGTCTTCCAAGCCAAACAATTCCTGTTTGCCATGCTTCACTGGACATGATTTCGAGTTCTCAATAAAACTAATTATGCCCTTGAAAAGAATGTACTGACGGGTTCCTGATTAGGAAGACTTCATTCAGTAAAGATTCTTCACAAGTAATTTGCAGGCTCAATCCAATTCTAGGAAAAGCCCCAGTGAAATGTTTTCCTTTATATTTCATCCTATTCATTTACGCTACATAAATTTATTGAGGATACAAAGTTACTGTCTTGGGGCTTATTATCTTCTATATATATATATATATATATATAAAATCAGACTGGTGGGGCTGGGAAGGTGGCTCAGTGGTAGAGTGCTTGCCTTGCATGCCTGAGGCCCTGGGTTCGATTCCTCAGCACCACATAAGCAAAAAGAAAAAAGCTGGAAGTGGCGCTGTGGCTCAAGTGGTAGAGCACTAGCCTTGAGCTGAAGAGCTGAGGGACAGCGCCCAGGCCCAGAGTTCAGTCCCCACGACCGGACCCCAAAAAAAAAAAAAAAAAATCAGACTGGCATTTTTTTTTGGCCAGTCCTGGGGCTTGAACTCAGGGCCTGGGCACTGTACCTAAGCTTCATTTGCTCAATGCTAGCACTGTACTACTTGAGCCACAGTGCCATTTCTGGCTTTTTCTGTTTATGTGTACTGAGGAATGGAACCCAGGGCTTCATGCATGCTAGGCAAACACTATACCACTAGGCCACATTCCCAGCCCCCAGACTGGGATTTTTGATCAAATTCAGGAATCAATTATTACTAAAACAATGACATATTAGAATGGTATTACAAAACAAGATACATAATAAGGCAGGAACCACTTTATGTAAAGCTGTCCTGGATGAGCAGAAGAGTAGAGGAGATGAGGGGGGAGGGAAAATCATCTGATTCTTGAACTCACAGACAAAGCTAAATAAATAGGAAGACAGGCAGGCCATAAGGCTGGACCCATAGTAAAAGCACATATGATGAGAAAGAGTTAGAGGGACTGACAGAGTACAGACCATGTAGGCCCCTGGGCTATGATGCAGTTTTCATTTTTCTTCCTGAGCAAAAAAAAAAAAAAAGCAATGAAAGTTTTGAGTAGAATGCAGGGGAAGAAAAGGGGGAACATTATCTAATTTCAATTTTGTTTGTCCTGGTAGTAGGGCTCGCACTCAGGGCTTTGAGCTCTCACTGGATGTTTTCACTCAAGGCTGGAGCTACTATCTCTATTTCTGGCTTTTTGCTGGTTAACCGAAGATAAGAGTCTCACAGACTTTTCTGCCTATGCAGGCTTTGAACTGAGATCTTCAAGTCTCTGCTTTCTGAGTAGGTAGGATTAGAAATGTGAGCCACTAGTACGGAGTTCTAATTTCAACTTTAAACAGTGAATCTGGCTTCAGTGTAAAGAAATGGATGAAGTGGGTCCAGAAAAGGGAGGCCCAGATGGGAGGCCACTGACTAGTCCAGGCGAGACCTAATAGCTGTGTAAACCAGAGCAAGAAAGTGAGATAAGTGGCTTGGCAGATTCTAATCCTTTAATAGACCTATGTCTATTAAAGAAATTAAATCGATAGTTAACCTACCAAATAGTACCAGGCCCAGGTTGGTTCCCAGGTGAATTCCACCAAACATTTAAGGGAAAAAATTATTCCAATTATCTACAATCTCTTTTTTTGTTCTTAATATATATTTTATTGTAAAGATACTATACAGAGGGGTTACAGTTACACGAGCAAGGTAATGAGTCCATTTCCTATCAAGCATTGTTACACCCTCCTTTATTTTTCCCCTACCATCTCTTTCCTCCCCACCTCCCCAACTCCTCCATTCCCCCCACCCCACCCTACCAAAGTTGTAAACTTTGTTTCAACATACTGTCTTGATCTACAATCTCTTCTAGAATTTAAAGCAGAAGAACCAGATACTGGTAACGCACACCTGTCATCCTAGCTGCTCAGAAGGCTGAGATCCAGTGGATCATGGTTCAAAGACAGCCCAGGCAGGGAAGTCCATGAGACCTTATCTCCAAAATAACCAGCAAAAAGCAACGTTAAAGGTATGATTCAAGTGGCAAAGCACTAGCCAAGCAGGTTTGAGGCCCTGAGCTTAAACTTCGGTATCTCCAAAAAAAGAAAGGGCAGTATTTCCTAACTCATTTCTAGCATTACACTAATGCTAAAATTCAACGAAGACATTACAGAAACACTACATACTATAGACCCGCATCATTCATGAGCATAGTTGCAAAAGTCCATAACAAAGTATTATTTTTGTCAGTCCTGGGGCTTGAACTCAGGGCCTAGGCACTATCCCTGATATTTTTTTTTTTTGGGTCCGGTCGTGGGGCCTGAACTCTGGGCCTGGGCACTGTCCCTCAGCTCTTCAGCTCAAGGCTAGCGCTCTACCACTTGAGCCACGGTGCCACTTCTGGCTTTTTTCTTTTTGCTTATGTGGTGCTGAGGAATCGAACCCAGGGCCTCATGCTTGCAAGGCAAGCGCTCTACCACTGAGCCACCTTCCCAGCCCCTATCCCTGATATTCTTTGCACTCAAGGCTAACACTTTACCACTTGAGCCACAGCACCACTTTCAGCATTTTCTGTGTAGTTTCTTTGGAGATAAGTGTCTCATGGACTATCCTTTCCTGCCTAGGCTGGCTCTGAGCTGTAACCTCAGATCTCAGCTTCCTGAGTAGCTAGGATTACAGGCATGAGCTTCTGGCACCCAGCCAAAATATTTTTTAAATCCAACAATGTATAGAAAGAACTAGATAGCATAACCAAGTAGGATTTTTCTCCAGGTATTCAAAGCTGGTTCAATACCAAAAAAAGCAATTTATACAATCTGTCACACCAATAATGGCTAATAAAGAAATGCCATATCCTGTGAGCATATGAAAAGTATTTGACAAAATCCAGTACCTGATGATGGTTTTTAAACACACACACACACACACACACACACACACACACACTTCAACAATCTAAGAATAGGAGATTCCTCAACTTGATAAGGAACATTTCACCATAGAACATTTTCTCTAAGACTAATAACAGAGCATGGATGCTCACCACTGCTTCTCAGCATTGCTATGAACTCTCTGGGTAATGCAATAAGACAAGAAAAAGCAGCAGATGGTACATAGATTGGGAAAAGAGAAATAATGCTGACATTATTCAACATTTACAAGGGAGGTCAGAAAACAGCTTTACATTTGTAGTGGGAGGTTCCAACTCAGTCTGCAAGAACTATATCAGAGCCAGGCCCTGATGGCTCATGCCTTTAATCCTAGCTATTCTGGAGGCTGAGCTCTGAGCCAGGGAAAAGTCCCTGTGAGACTCTCATCTTCAATTAACCACTCAAAAACCAGGAAGTGGAATTGTGGCTCAAAGTGGTAGCATGCTAGTCTGGAGCAAAAGAGCTCAGGGACAAAACCAAGGCTCTGAGTTCAAGCCCCATGATTGGGGTGGGGGCAGAGAAGTATTATATCAGACCAGACCTGGGCATTGTCTGATTTCCCTTTGCCCATCTCCATTCAAGGTTGAACTCTCAAAGTTCATTCAGAAAAAGAAAGTTAGGTAGGCCTCTCTCTTCCAGGGTTAAAAAGAAGAGGCCACAAGGAGCCAAGAACCCCTGGGGAATGTGCACCTAATGGAGGGCATTGTCTTGGGCCTAGACAGATGCCCCCAGGATTGATCCTCCTAGATTCTCTGCTCAGGCCACAGAGTCTCAGGCCTTTCCTGCCATGTGGAAGATGCCAGGGCTGCACAGTTATTGATGCATGTCTAGATGGGTCTTGGAAGTACATGAAGCACTTTCCTGAATTCTAGTTCATTGATCATTGCAGCAACCTGAGAAGCTGGCAGAAACTGTCATTATTTTATTAAGACAAAACAGATGGACAATCTGAACTTCAGAGATGTCAATAGACATGTCCAAGAAGCCAGCAAGAGAGCTGAGACACTGATCCAGATCTCCTGGTTCTAGACTCTGAGTCTTCCTGTAGTCAGTCTCCTGTCCTCCATAGACCTCACAAATCATCAGGAGAATATTCAGCTTATCACTCACTCTTTCTGTGGTCCAAAGCACATCCAATAATCTCTGACCTGGAGAGGAGGTGCAGAAGGTGCAGAGGACAGGTAGTCCTCTAATGGAGGAGCAAGTTAGGGAAGGAAAAACTTACTAACTCAGTGGTCCACCCAGGAATTAAATCTGAGATCCATTCCTGCTCTAGAACATGCCACAGATAAAGAACCTGGCAGTTTTCTTCTCCTTCCTGCCCAGAGAAGCCTTAAAAGTACAGCTGGGCCTGAGCCTTACTCCTAACTTGTTTTAGAAAGAGTTTGCATTCAACAACCTTCCTCTATCAACAGGCTATGGCATAAGTAAGGATTGTGTTCAGTGGGTTTCTGCTGTCCTAATTTCCCAGCTAAAGACCTAGATAGAGTGTCTAAATTTTCCTCCGGCTGACAGCTGTCCTAGATTTAGCCTCTCTGATGGATAAGTCTCCTTTCCCCTCCTGTGGCTAATGGATGCTGCTCCATCCCATCCCAGGCTTCCTTGATCACCCATCTTTAAGTTACTGACATTGCACCAAAGGCTCACTTACCATGTCTAGGGATATGTAAAGAAAAATGCCAAAATTCTACTGAGAGCTAGAAGAGAGAGAGAGAGAGAGAGCTGGGAGACACAGGGGCCCAAAGCTGGCAAAGGAGAGACTTGGTACCTCATGGAACTAGATCTCCAACCTATGCCCCATGTACAATTCTCAACCTGTTCTTTTCTTTTTATTCAACAACATGACTCTGAAGTCCAGTTGGAAGAATAAATGGCAAGCATAACTGATGGCATTTTTGAAGAAGGAAAATCAAGGTGGATTGTTGTGTTGGATTAAAACTAAGATGTAAGCTGAGTATTGGTGGCTTACCCCTGTAATCCTAGTTACTCAGGAGACTGAGATCTGAGAATCTCAGTTCAGAGTTGGCCCAGGCAGGAAAGTCCATGAGACTCTAATCTCCAATTAACCACCAGAAAACCAGAAATGGAGCTTTGGCTCAAAGTGGTAGAGCACTAACCTTGAGCAAAAAACCTTAAGGATAGAGTCCAGGGCCTGAGTTCAAACCCCATAACTGAAATAAGTAAGTAAAGTAAATGAATAAACAAACAAGATGTAATACAAAGTTGCAAGTTGTTCATTTTATTGGTTTGTTCCATAGACAGTAAGCTCTTATCTTGGGGCAGATGCTGGATCAGGCAATAGAAGGCTTAAGGTCCAAAAGGGACATAGTGTTTCTGTGTTTGAAGCCCCAGGAGGAAGGTCTGGAGTTCATGAGAGCAGAACCAGAGTCCAGCTCTGAGGCAAGGCTGATGGCCCCAGCCCTGCGGCTTGCCCAGACAATAGTGAGTGACAAGGCAAAGAGAAGTGGACAAAGTCTGACCCTTTCATCTATCTGGACAAAAAACTCTGCAGCTTTGGACCTCAGGCAGTTATCGTGCAGGATTGGCCCAAAATTAATTACTTAAGATGGGCATGATGGCACACACTATAATCCCAGCTACTCAGGAGGCTGGGGCAGCCAGGGCAACTTGGCAAGACTGTATCACAAAGTAAAAATAAAAATGGGCTAAAGGTGTAGCTCAGTGGTAAAACTTTGCCTAGTATATGCAAGCCCATGAACTGCAAATAAAGTAACCCACAGATAATCATTGAGCACAAAGCATTTTATATGTACCATCTTGTTTAATCTTTACTTTGTTCTTCAGATGAGACTATTGGTATTCAGAGTGGTTAAGTAACTTGCTTGAAGCCACGCAGCTAGAAGTTGGTAAGGTCAAATATAGTCTCAGGTAGCTTGACCCCAGAGTCTGAGCTGCTAATCACAACCCTGCCCTACCGTTCAGGCAAGGGCAAGTCTACATAGAATTTGATATGAAGTGGACTTTGTTGGCTCAAATATAGCAAGAGTCACCATGACTCCACAGGCCTATGATGAGCCTACTTACAGCTCAATTGTGAACATTTGGAGGATGAAGGAAGCTCTAAGATCATTCAATCCAATCACCCTTATGACACCAGAAGCCTATATAGATACCAGGCCATTGGAGCCCCATGACTATCAGTGCCAAGCAGATAAAGGTTTTGAGTAGATATTTGTCTAGAAGGTCACCTCTTGAGGGCTGATGAGGAAACATAACATTGCCTGCCAAGAGCCTACAGCAAGTTGAGAGCATTATAATCTCACTTGGCCTCCCTGTTCCACCCTGATTTCTCTATACTGGAGATGCCCAGCCCTCTGCATGGTCCCTAAGCTGGATACAAAATGCAGCTGCCAAGGAGGGGACGTGGAAGGAGGGGTGCCATTCTGAGCATGCTCAGAACTCCTACCTCTCTCTGCTCCCTCTGTAGGCAGAGTTCTTCTGTCTCTTCCATCAGTTTGTCTGTCAAAGCAAGCACACATGAGAAGCTCACTCAGACAAGAGGTCCTGAGGGGGCAGGTGCCTGAGGGTGACCTCCATCACCCGCCCCCTGCCCTCTCTCAGGGAAGAGGTCAGCTCCTCTAATAGCCAGGCTTTGGGACCAACTCTGCTGAATGAAACTGCCTTGCTGACCCAAACTGCTCGCCTCCTTTCTGGTCATTGAGAACAATGCTTTGTGCATTGGTGGGGCTATGAGGTTGGAGGCTCAAGTGGGTGTCTCCTGTCCCTACCCACTGGAGGACAGAATCCTGAGGGTGAGGAGAGTGGTGACTGGAGCCAGCAGAGGGGAACCAGTGCTGGTCTGCCAGAGTCTAAGGAGGTGAAGGAGAACAGGTCCCAGGCAAAGAAACCAGGTCCCACCTCACTTCCTCTGTGCTTACCAGCCAGTGGGGGGAGTATGGAGCCTAGACCCCTGCAGCCATGACAATGGCTGGGGGTAGGAGTGGGTCTCTACATTACAGAAGTAGAAACTGAGGCTTGGAGAAGTTAGTATGTCTAAAGATGGACACAGTTAAGAGATGGGTTCTAGGGGCTGGGAAGGTGGCTCAGTGGTAGAGCGCTTGCCTTGCATGCTCGAGGCCCTGGGTTCGATTCCTTAGCACCACATAAGCAAAAAGAAAAAAAGCCGGAAGTGGCGCTGTGGCTCAAGTGGTAGAGCGCTAGCCTTGAGCTGAAGAGCTGAGGGACAGCGCCCAGGCCCAGAGTTCAGGCCCCACTACCAGACCCAAAAAAAAAAAAAAAAAAGAGATGGGCTCTAACACTGAGGGTAGAGCCCAGGTTATTTTACCCAAGTTATGCTGGCCATAAAGACCTTTTCTGCACCTTAAAGCCCTCCAGGCATCAAACTGTCTGCTAAGCCCCAACAGAGACATCTCCACCCCTTGCCTAGAACCTCAAGCGCTGCCACCAGGGAACCTCAGATTCCAGCCCACTCCCCTGCTTCAGCCAACCTAAATATTCCTGCTTTTCCTTAGCCAACTGCAGCCCCTGGGCTTCCAGGCTTTTGATCATGGCTTCTCCCAGCTGGGCATTTTTCCAAGTCCTGAGGAGGGAGGGCAGATGGGACAGAAGAGAACAGAGAAAGAAACCCAAAATCGTTAAAGCAGTAGGGCTGAGGAGAAGGTGAATGTACGTTCAGTTCGTTATGCCTGCTCATTCTCTCCAGAATCGCAGCCGGCACTCACTTTGGCCACTGGGCTCCAAGCCACCAGCATTGATCGCTTACAGTAACTGGAGCCTGGCGGGGCTGCAAAGTGGGCCATGGGGGCTGGGCCAAGAGCACTTGCAAAGCAGAGCAGAGCAGAGCAGAGATTACATCCTGGTTAGCTTTCTGTATCACTGCATGCCTAGCACCTACACAAAGCCAAGCACGGGGCATGCATGACTGTTATTTGTCAGACCAAAGTTATGACTCAGCTCACATGGACAGGAATTTGAATAGTGTGTGTGTGTGTGTGTGTGTGTGTGTGTGTGTGTGTGTGTGTGTGTGTGTGTGTGTGTGTGTGTGTGTGTGTGTGTGTGTGTGTGTGTGTGTGTAGATGACTCTGTGTGTGTGTGTGTGTGTGTGTGTGTGTGTGTGTGTGTGTGTGTGTAGATGACTGTGTTGGGCTGGGGTTTCTATGATCTAGACTGATTTATAAAATCTTAGTTCTAGTCTTTGCTAGGATTAACTACAGTTCTGGGGAGGTGAATTGGATGGAGGGAGAGTTTACAACCAATGACACTGGATTCACTCCCAAGAGTTGGAGGCAAATGGCCTGCCACCTGTGACTGCTCACTCACGTATGGGACATAACAAGTGTCTCCTCCCCTCTCCCTAGTCAAGTCTCTGTGTCAGGATGCCAGCTGAGAGGCAGGGAGCTCTGGGCAGGCCCAGCCCAGCCCCTTCTCTCCTGGCTCACCCACAGCCCTCCTGGCAGATACTTACACCTTCCCAGACTCCTGCAGCATCTCCAGCCATTGCGTCTGCTCAAACTCGGACTCAGCAGCCAGCAAGATGTTCCCCTGCCAGGAAGAAGAGCCAGGGTATGCCATACTGAGGCCGAGGAAGGCCCTCTCCTCCCTCCCCCGCCCCGCCATCCAGGGCACTGATAGGCCTCCCAGGCTAGGCTGTGCAGGGCTGTTCCGAGGGAATAAAAAACAAGAAGCTGCTCTGCCCTGGCACTCACATGAAAGTCCTGGTGTGAGATCTTCATGGCGTAGGGCATGCTGGGCTCTTCCTTGGCCTCTACCAGGCAGCCGCCCAGAGGAATGACCCCCTGCAGAAGAAGCAGAATAGGCAGCTCTCACCCCAGATAACTCATCACTCAGCGGCCCCTGGAGAAAGCCAGGTGCTGCCAACATCCCAGACCAGACTCTAGACTCCAGCGCTACTGGACAGAGGCCAGCACTGACTCCCAGAAGAAAGAGGAAGGGATGAACAGGCTTTGAGGTAGAGGAGGGTACAGGAGGGAATTTTCTCTCCAGACTCTCAGCTAGACCACAGCAGGACAACTCCTGCTGTTCCCACTCCCACCCCCACGCAGAGGCTCTGTGGCCGGAGGCATCTCACCTTGGGATGTATATTGAAGTACTTATTGGATTCAAAGCTCTTTCTCTCGCTCTCAGAGTAGTAAAGCAGAAAGCTCTCTTTGATGATAAAAAACCTATAGTGAGTGATGGGGAGAAAAGAGTAACCAGGAGAGAAGGGGTGAGGTCTCTCGGGACAACAAGAGCCTACATTCCATATTGCACAAAGGCCTCAGTTGGCCGGCCATCCTCCGCTGTAGACAGCACAGTCCCCACACCAGGACAGGGAGGAGGGAGGCCCAGGGCTGGAGGCCAGAGCTGCCTGCCTCTGTGCCCCCTGAGCTGATACCACTGGCACAGCAGAGCACCTTTGGCCCTTCCCCTTGGGTACTCTCACCCCTTGAGTGACCACTCTCAGTCACTTAGGAGCTCCCCCTGCAGAGCAGAGGACAGGAGGCATGTGATTGTAAGATGGGGTCTTTTGGTGTCATCTTGGGAGCTGGCAACCAAATGGAACTAGGCACCCAACTGGTAAGGCCGTCCCTTAACATCCCTTATGTCTCAAACCGCTCACAGCCTCCCTCCAGAATTCACGTCTAGCAGGACCATTGTGCCCTTAAGCGCTTTCTAGCTGCTGGGGTGGTGACTCCTCAGTGTCAGCTCCGGCACTGAGCCTACCCTGGGGCCTCTTAAAAAACTGATGAGCATCAAGTGTTCTCCAGGGGGAAGAGTCAATGGGGCCTCAAAAGTCAGACACCCAGAATGGCTGACTCCTTCTTCCAGGGCACAGTTGCAGTGATGCAATGTGAACAAAAGGCATAAGGATTCTGAGTTGTTCTTGTCATACATATGCAGGGGGTGGGGAGGTGGGGGAGAGAAGTCAAAGCAGTGGCACATTGTACTTGCTGGGATGGCTTACAATAGCCAACAGTGGGCATCTCTCCCCTGCTCTGCATTTGGTGACAAGGTGTCAGCCACTTGATATTAGCCATGGAATATTTACATCAGAAAGTCAAATGCTACAGAATCGCTAAGCCCCACCCCAAGAACCTGTTTCTGGGATTTGATCTCAAGACTTGTGCCAGCTCAGCTTTCAGGCTCAACCAGTTGAGCAACATTCAGTCTTACCGTTTCCTAGATATTTTGGAGATGGACCCTTTTCTGCCCAAGCTGGCCTTGAACCATTATTCTCTAGACCTCAACTTCTTGAGTAGTTAGGATTGCAGGTAGGAGCCACCAACACCCAACTAAGAGCCTGCTCTTAACACCACTAGCTAGCACCTTCTTGTGAGGTGCTGGAGAAGTTGCTGGTGGGCATCAACAAGCCAGAGAATCTGTAGGTCCTGCCAGCCGTGGGGCCGTGGGGCTCGTCTGAGGACACAGCTGCTGGGCGGCAGGTGGAGGGGCAGGCCTGGGTCTGGGAGAACTGCCATCTCTCCTCTCCTGAGCAGAGGGAAGTGCTTTGGTGTGAGCCTAAGCCAACTAATTGGTTTGAGTTGGTTTGACTGTTTTGTTTTCTGAATCAAGGCTCGTTTCAAACCCACGATCCTTATACTTCAGCTTCCCAAGTAGCTGGAATTATAGATGCACACTAGTGCACTTGGCTTCAACCTATTTTCTTTATTTGTCTGACCCTTTCTGCCCAATCACTTAACAAATACACCCTGTGAACCTGGTGACACTGCTAATGCCAACGATTCTGAGAGCACAGGAATACTACCTACTTCTGAACTAGGTGACATTCTGGCCCTCCTACCTACCCACCACTCCACTTTCCCACCATTTCTGCCCTTCAGTGTGTCTATGCTCTAGAGATCTGTGGAACTCAGATGGAGACAGTGCTGCTCACCTGGCCTGGCCTCCCACCATGTTTCTTCTGGCTGAGCCCTCCTCACCCAATTCTCATCCCCAGACCAGCCCGCAGTGATGTCTGGCACTTCCTGATCAGACTGTACACTTAGCTCTTAGTACCAACTGGCACACTCCGTGTGCTTTTCTTGTCCAAAGGAGGTCACTGGGCTTCTGGAAGGCAAGGTCATGCCACTGCCTTCCCCTGAGTAAGGTAGATATCTTCTACCCGTTTCCAGAAAACATCACAGAATAGGTAAGGGTGTAAGGTGGTACCAGATACACCTGTCACCGGCTGGCTGGTGGGGTAGGGATTAGACATTCGCACCCAGCTCTCTGAGCTTTGGGTTTTGTTTTTTTTAATCACCAGTAGAGTAAGGTAAAACATCTGCCTTATCTGATCACACAAAATATTGAAATGAACTCCAGCAAATGGAAGCAAGAAGTTTTCTTTTTCTTTTGTTCTGTTTGTCCATTTATATGTCTTCGGGAGTACAAGGGGGAGGCACAGAGATGGGGGGATAAGGATAAATAAATGCAGCAGTGGGACTCACTGCACACTATGTTAAAAATGAACTATACAGCTTGTGGGTGGGGACAGGAGGAAAAATCTGGGAGTGAGGGAAGGGGTGACACTGTCCAAAAAGAAATGTACTCTATACCTGATTTATGCAACTGTTAACCCCTTTGTACATCACCTTTATACTAACAAAATTTAAAAAAAAATACCTGCCTTAGGAAGATGCCAGTGGCATACACCTGTAATCCTAGCTACTCAAGAGGCTGAGATCTGATGATCTCAGTCCAAAGCCAACCCAGGCAGAAAAAGTCCATGAGACTCTTATCTCCAATTAACCTCAAAAAATCAGAAGTGGCACTGTGGCTCAAGTGGCAGAGCACTTTAGAAAAAAAGCTCAGGGACAGTGCCCAGGCCAAAAGTTCAAGCCCCAGGACTGGCAAAAAAAAATTGAATTAAAAACAATTAAAAAAAAACAAACCTGCCTTATAAGGGGATGGTGAGAAGCAGTTGAGTGTGGGCTCCTCACTCTGCCAGACCCAAATCTGTGGTAACTAGTGGCACAGAGCCACCTCTGGCCTGCCCCATTCAGCAGCACCAGAAATACTGCTGGTGCCTCTCCATGAGTACAGTGAAGTCCTAACCCCAAGTGACTGTATTTGGGGCTAGGGCGTTTAAGAGAAACTAAAGTTAAATAAGCTAATAAAGCCAAGGCTCTAATCCAATAGGGCTGTAGCTCTATAAAAAGAGGAATTACCTTTCTCCTTCCTTTCTCTATCCCTTGCCCCATCTGCTATATGGAAACATACCAAGACTGAGAAGTTGACCCATCTTCACCAGAACCCAATGATGCTGGGTGATATTAGTGGGTTGATATTAGCCAAGGTGGGCAGAGAAGACTAATTAATCTTTGCTAGATGTGGTGGTACCTTCCTGTAATCCTGGCACTTAGGAGGCTGAGGAGGATTTTGAGTGAGGACAGCCTGGGCTGCAAGACCTTAACTCGAATTTTACAAAAGGTGATTTTTGAGGAGGGAGAAGTTGTTCCAGGCAGAGAACCCACAAGTGCAAAGGTCCTGAGGTGAGAAGGAGCCTGGCTCTGGAAGGATCTGCAAGGTTGAAATCAGCAGGCTGTAGCTACTAAAATAACAATGGCAGCTTACACTCCTTCAGCGCTTACCACAAGCCACACCTGCCTCCACGCAGTTACCTCTGCCAGTGCACTTAACATTCAAGGTATTAACTCTTCAGCATCCTACCACGCAGGTGCTTACATGGGCTGGAATGAGCGGGAGGGCTTTGAGCGGGAGGGGCCTGATCTACCGTACATTGCAAAGGTGTGTCCTGACTGTTGAACTGAGAGCTGGAGTACTGGGGTAAGGGTGGGGAAAGCGGCTAAAGAGTCAGTGCCACCCAACATCACACTGGTGGGCAATCCTTAGCATTTGCCCTGCACACAGGCTGGGTCCCTAGATGTCACTCCCTTTCATGTGAAGTGCAGCATAGAGACAGACAAGTGATGGAGGTCCTGAGCAGCCTTTGCCCCTTGTTAGCTGGACTGCAGCAGGCCCCGGGGCTGCCCTGGCTGCAGGGATTGCTAAGGGCCCACACACAGGTGCCACACCTAGCCCAGCTGCAGCTGTTTTCATCTTGGTGGGGGTGAGGAAGGGGAGGAGTGCTGGCACAGTCCTGGGGAAGAGGGCAGCCTCCCAGCTAGCAGTGATGTGAATCAGTCACCACTGGCTCATTTGGCAAACATGCTTTTAAGACCCAAAGGGCTAGCTTTGCTTATCAACCTGCCTCAGTGGTGGCCACTGTCATGATTATCAGCCTCTGCTCAGCAGCTGGGGGTCCAGAGTCCATGTGCCCTGCACAGAGAAAGAACCAGTTCTCATCCCCTCCTCCCAAAGTCCTCTCACTCAGCTGAAAGCTGGGATCCAACACATTCCAGGCTTTGTGGAGCTGAGCTGGGTATGTAAAGGCTGGCACATCATTCTCCTATGCTGGGAGCTCTACATGCATGTGTGTGTGTGTGTGTGTGTGTGTGTGTGTGTGTGTGTGTACATATATAGATAATTTTTTTGCACTGTTCTTTTTGTTTAAGGCTAGCACTCTATACTTGAGCCACAGTGCCACTTCAGGCTTTTTCTGCTTATGTGGTACTGAGAAATCGAACCCAGGCGCTAGGCTAGTGCATGCTAGGCAAGTACTCTACCACAAAACCACATTCCAAGCCTGAGCCCTGCATATATTGAGATTTTTGTTTGTTTTCCCTCTCATTCTGGGGTTTGAGCTCAGGGCCTGGAGCTCTTCTTGCTTGGTTTTTCACTCAAGCTAGCCCTTGAGCCATACCTCCATTTCTGGTTGTTTTGCTGGTTCATTGGAAATAAGAGGCTTTCAGATTTGTCAGCACAGTCTGGCTTTCAGATCGTAATCTTGAGATCTCATCCTCCTGAGTAGCTAGGATTACAGGGTTGAGCCACCAGCGCCCAGCTTCTCTGGTCTTAAAGAACAGCATTTTTACCCCTAGATGGCAAAACATTTAGAAGGCAGCAAGACATCCACTTTGCTAAGTGTTTAACTGACATTGCCTTATTTAAACACCCTGAGATGGAGGGATTTTATTTCTATATTTTCTACTTCACTGGGGAAGAAACTGAGACAAAGAGAGATGAAGCAATGGAACAGTGGCATCCTTGGAACTCAGTTCTCTCTACTGACAAAGCTGACATTTTGACTGCTTGTTCTCTGTGTGGCCTGGGGCTCCTTGTC